GTAGTCATGTGGCAACTCCATCTGGCAGGTAAATCTGTTAAGAACACTTTATTTTGAAAATGAAAATGCCATACTTAGCACCAGTGTGTTGATTATCGACAACAAATTATATTCCCAAGGAGAGTTAAAAACTGTGTATGGTTAATTTGACCAAATTACAAGTAATCCAACTCAGACTCAACAGTCATATTCACTACGGCTGGGACGATATGCTTTTCTCCCGATTCAATTCTTCTACAATTTTTTGGATGCCAATTTGATTTAAATTGTGATTCTACAATATTGTCGATTTTCTCGCTTTTTTAGTCTGCATTTTTAACACCGGTGAAACAGTTGAATGATTATGATTGTCTACTAACTATTCCTGGAACCATATTTCCCCAAAAGGTACACATCACATGTAAGTCAGTTTTTAAGATTTATTCTTAAATTTGAAGAAAAAAAATCTGTTTTTGAACATAAAAATCAATTTAAAAATTGTAAAATTGTAAAACAAATAATTTCTCCCACCCATAATATATTCACTGTATTCCTCAAGTACATTCGTGACATGATCATTCAATGAAAATTGTGAATATGGAAAGGTGATCAGTCAGTTCAGACTCAACAGAAGGATTTTCAGATTTGGTCTGATTCACAGGAGAGGAAAACTCACTGCGCTCGTCACAGAAAGAGCAGAGTATGAGAAAACAGGAATTTACCCTCTATTTCTGACTATCCTTAGGAGATTTTTTCACAATGAAGAAACAAGAGAAGCTGAGACCCCTACGAGTACTGGATCATTACTTCTGCAGTGAAGTAAGAGCAAAGAGTCCTACAATATTGGACTGTGTGGGAAACAGCACACTGCATGAGCAAGACCACATGCCTCATGCAGATAAAGCTCTGCTAACTGCTTGGTCGGGTTTTCAGTTTGATACAAGCTGCTACACATAACAGATCTGCTCCAGGGTCCTTGACAAGAGGAAGTTTGCTTTCATTTATTCCTCCATGCACTTTTTTCCCCACTCTTATTCTGATTCCAGTCATCTAACAGGAAGTCTATCTCTCTCTCTCTCTCCCTCTCTCATCCTTTCCATCCCTCAGACATGTGGAGATGGACAGCATGAGAAGTCCTTGGATGAACCTTAAGTGCTGACGTGGCTCCAAGACCTCTCACAGCGTCATGACGTGTCTATCTGTCTCTCCATGGTGCACAGATACTTTCCCGTGCTCACTCTCTCACACACACACACTCACTCACATGTGTGTGTGTGGACAGGTTCCAGCTTTGCCTGCTCATTTATTACAGCTGAGCATATACACGATGAAGCACAAAGCTGCAGTGTATCTGTATGTGCTCTCACAATGCAAAAGTACACAAGCACACATGGGTGCAGTTTGACATGTGAACAGCGGAGCGCATACACCTCTTTTTCATTCTATGTCAATCTAGTGACACTTTTATCACTCCACACAGTCTCCTATACAATCAGCATCAGTCTCAGTTGTCACGCTCACGCCACACATTCACACACACGCAGGCTGTCTCACATATGCACCCACTCACAAACACACACGCTCAGGTCAGCTGAGTGATGTTAGAGTGTGTATTTCTCCTCAGCCTGTATTAAAGTGAGTCATCTATCCTTCCACAGCTTCATTACCACCTGCAAGGGCAAACACTATCTCTCGCTCCCTCTCCAGATGGAGGAAGGAGAGATATACAGTAGATAGAATGTGAGATCTCCCCCCTTCTCTCTCGCTCTCTCTCTCTCTCTCTTTGTATTCCCTCCCTCTTCATCTCTTTCTCTATTGTTTTCGCTGGCTCTATATTTATCTTCTGTCTCTATCTCTATGTGTGTTTTCAATCACAGTCTTTCTTCTCCCCCCTCGCCTTAAGCAAGTGCCAGAATGGTTAAGCATCTAGATGTAAACATTTAAAGCGCTGAAAGATGCAACAGCATGAATGCAACAGAGTGGAAGTGCGAAAAAGATATGGCCAAAAGTATGCGGACACTCCTGACACAGCTGTATACCACTGCCTGTTTTTCATTTTTAGAATAAGATGCCAAATGTCATTAAAAGGCATAAAGTTCTGGTGAGAATTAACTTTTTGCTCTGAATAGAGTATAAAACTGGGCAAAAAAGTAGACATGCAATATAGAAATCTTAATATAGATGCAAAAAAGGTAATTTAAAGGTCATGGATTTATAGCGAGGAGTGGAAAGAAAGACAGAGACATATGAAAAGAGAAATTTTGTCTTGTTCCTACCTGCCTCTCACAGCTCAGGCAGGGAAAGCTTGCAGAAAGCTTGAGTTTTTGAGGCCCTACAGAAAGCATGAATAATGCATAGGTAAAACCTCTTATTCTCTAAATTTTAAATGGCTTGCTGTTATCAAAAATAACTTGATCTGTGGAGCATTAGCAGACTCGCACACAACAGAGTGACTTCTATGGTACACTATTATATACAGACAGCAAAGGACCCGAGTTCAACTTCATTTGTACAGTTTTATGATGGCTTTATTTGGAATTCTGCTGCACAAGCAGAACCGCCTTGACTGCTCATCACAACAAAAAGACACCAATTTTATAAGGAGAGCACTTCCTTAGTTAGAGGGGTATGTTTTTACTCTGTGTCGCCATGTTGGAAACACACTTAAACAGACCTCAGGTTTTTATGTGACAGCACTAAATAAGACACAACTCATCAGTATGACTCACCCAAAGGTAGGAATAGGATCCAGGTCTTGGACTCCCTCTGCTGGTTCTCGGAGCGGAGGAGGCAGACTGTTGAAACTGTTGCTCTGTTGTATTTGAGGCGTCTCCTCAGAAGAATCTTCTCTCCTGCCAGAGGATAATTAGACGGTTGTTAGAGAAGAAAACATCCAGGAACTTTTCTGAGTTTGTCTTTAATAGGAAAACCACAGGTACACTTTAAATCATCTTACAGTCACCATGAACAAAAACAAGATTACAGGCAAAAAGGTAACTTGAAATGGTGCTTTTGATGTTTTTTGTGGGTTTGGGGAAGTTTAAGGGTTAAAACAATTAGTGATATGTTTCTTATTGATCTCTCCCCGAGGAACTCTTATCCCAAAGAGTGCAGACAGGCTCATTACTCTCAAAGACATCCTTATGGACAGTAAGGACTGATAAAGCTGGATCAATGCCTCTGATCAGTTCCCACCACAGCATGGATAAAGGCACAGAACAAGAAAAGACAGAAAGGGCATTCTCATTAAATGAAAGCTTTCAAACTCTCTTTTGGCTGCTATACACGAAGAGTAACTTTATGGGATGTTATGTTATTTCGCCCCGTGCCAAAGACTCAGAGGAGGTTGGAAAGCCAATTCATTATAGCAAGTTAATTATCCCTAAAATAGTGCTGTTTAAGTACTTTGGCTGTACGGTTAAAAAGAGATAAAAAAAAATTCAACAAGACTAACAGTCTGTAGAGGCCAAAACAGGGGACTAGAGGGGTGATAATGCTCATTCTACAACACAAAACTGTGAATGGAAAGATAAAGCTTTGACTGATATCTGTGCAATGAGCAGGATAAAGTGTGAGGAGATTTGCAAATATGAAGTGGGGAACCAGTGAAAAAGCAATCAAAAGATATTACATCCCTTTGACAAAATAAACTTTCCAGGCTCAACTTGTCAAACATACAGAAGTTTAGATATCATTTTGTCTCAACTTTATTTACCACCATTATCTTTGGCTGCAAAATCTAAATCAAAGGAACTATGGTTTTGAGATATATTTACACTGCTGTGGTGTTCATGACTCCCAACTTATTAAATGACAAGGCAACAGGCCAAGAGAGGCAACAGTCAAGTCTAATAAAAGGCACTGCCTCCAAATTAATGGGTAACTTCACAATATGTGTGTTTGACTGTATCCAAAAAAGTAAGTAGGATATGATTTTAATCCAGCAGGTTCTCTTTGGCTTCCATACATTTTATTTATATCATAGAGGCACAAATGTACAGCTCTCAACTTACCCCGTGTATGGGGTAAGTTGATCATAGGAGCAGGGTGTATTGAGCTGTATCCCTACTACCCCCCACTCTCCACCCCAACCCTCCCTTACCCTCTCTCTCCCTAAATAACAGTCACTTCTTTGCATTCATGTGTTTTTTTTTTTAATCTATTATAAGCTATACAACTGATACAATATACATTATTAGTCCTCTAAGCTAAAATGGTGGACTTTTATGCTAGGTTTTTGACCTCATGTTGTAGCTCATAGATACCACAATTGATGTATAAAACAAATTTAAAATGATCTTTTTTGGTCTGAACACAACTCTAATGAAACTTATGACAGACTAAATTCACTTTTAGCGTGAAAAATGTTTTTTTGGAAATAAACGTCTAACCCCTTCACCCATGTGCTTCTAACCTTCACAGACTCCATGAATTGATGCCCATCTCCTCAATACTTTGTCATATAATCAATTTCTTTTACCATTTCCAAGCAACGTGGGGGTGGCTCAACCTTTAGCTCAACTTACCCCACTCTACCCTATTAGACATTGTGTTTTGTATCCATGGAAATGCTACAATTTTATGCATGTATTTCCTTCATTTTTTTAACTTTTAGTAGACTCACATCAACAACCGAGTAAACTCCATGCATCAAATGCACATATTATAAAAGTGAAGTTGTGGATTCAAACTAGTGTTTAACCCTGAGCAGGGAGGAGTTCAGTCTTGCATACAGACTCAAACTTTGTTCCAGTGTCTCTTTGACTAGCCAAAAACCCTGAGTTACTCACCTCTGTGTTACAACGTTGAAACTTCCAACCTGCTGTCACTTCATGCGGCGTCATGAACCCACACCTACCGCCATGACAACTACGCGGAAATTTGAGCTTTGGGCGGATTGTTTGGAAGTCAGTTCCCTTCCCTTCTCTCAGGGGCTACTACTTCACTATGCTAACAACAGGCATGTCGCGACTCTAAAACCGCACTTTCAATAGGTTTGTAACTATTTTTCCTGTGTCATTATGGGAGACTCGGACGCGATAAGGGCCTCAACTCGGAGGAGGAGGGCGAATTTCGCGGCCGGGAGAAGTGCCAGCGTGCTCCCGGTGAACGGGAAGTCTGCTGCGGAGTATCAGGGCTCACTGACCGCTGACATTAGCAGCTACAATGGCCCGGGGGAACTCGCCTCTTCACTGGAGTCAGTCGGTCCTAAATCAAAGAGTGACAAGAAGAAACGAAGGAATGACATAAGTGAAAGAATGAGGTGAGCCCCACGAAGATAACATTTGCAGACAAGCTTTTCTTAAGACCAAAGTTGAATATGTAGATATCTGATATTACGCTTCAAACAGCAGCGACAGGTTCCATGTTTCCTGTCAAAAACGTTGTTTTTTGACGCATTTTTGAGCTGGTTTAACTATCGGGCATCTTTGAAGTAACTTTGGTTAACGTGTGTCTGTCATTGATCATTTACTCATTCATTCATCAATGCTGCTTGTTACAGTAACGTGTACAAACATTGACCCTGCTTGACATCTCGAACTGTGTACATAAGTGTATCTGAGGCAACTGTTACACGCCCGAAGGCTCCTTCATTGATCCAGAGCGGTTCTACAGGGGCCATACTTACAGGGCTGATCTGTGGGCTTGCCTGATCTCTTAAACTATATCTAATTATTTTATTTTATCCATTGTTTTAATTGTTTTTTGATTGTTTTTATGTCTGCGTTGTTTTGTCTATTCATGTACAGCACTTTGTTCAGCTGTGGTTGTTTTAAAGTGCTTTACAAATAAAGTTGAGTTGAGTTAAAGTCACGTGTGTAATGTCAAAGTAGGCCACAACTAAGCTTCAACTTCTTGGTACTAGTGTTCAATGAATGTGAACTTTTCACAAGGGTTGGGTATTGTTTGATATTGAACGATTCTGGTTCCGATTCCTCATTTCGATTTTATTAATCCGAACCACTGACAATTCAAAGCAGAGATCAGGGAGCAGGGCCGCAGTCTTACACGCCCCCCTGCGCCTCTTTTAGAGCAGCCTCCCAGCCACTACCACTTATACACAGAGACAAGGGAGCAGAGCCGCAGTGTAAAACGCCCTTCTGTACTCCCTTCAGAGCAGCTTCCAAGCTACAATCAGCTTGACTTAGAAATCAGGGAGCAGAGCCGCAGTGTAAAACGCCCCTCTGTACTCCCTTCAGAGCAGCTTCTAAGCTACTCTCAGCTTGACATAGAAATCAGGGAGCAGAGCCACAGTGTAAAACGTCCCTCTGTACTCCCTTCAGAGCAGCTTCCAAGCTTCTCTCAGCTTGACATAGAAATCAGGGAGCAGAGCCACAGTGTAAAACGTCCCTCTGTACTCCCTTCAGAGCAGCTTCCAAGCTACTCTCAGCTTGACATAGAAATCAGGGAGCATAGCCACAGCTCTACACGTTCCTCTGTACTTTTGTTAGAGCAGCCTCCTAGCTACTGTCACTTTAATATAGAGACTGTGTCTGTCCCTCGTACTCGGCTCTCAAATTCTAACCGATCAATTAAAAAAGGAGTAAATAACAAGAACCTTACTAGAATTAAGACTGTTAACATAGCTGAACCAAGTACTAGTAAGATAAAATGTGGCCTACTGAATATAAGGTCTCTAAATTCAAAATCTGTGTTAATAAATGAACTAATCTCTGATCATCGCATTGATTTACTCTCCCTAACCGAAACATGGCTGCGTAAGGATGAATATGTAAGTTTAAATGAATCCACTCCTCCTAGCCACCTAAACTTTCACATTCCTCGAGACTCCGGCCGAGGTGGTGGAGTTGCAGCTATCTACAATTCCAATCTTAGAATTAACCCAAGACCAAAACTAGATTATAACTCTTTTGAAAGTCTCGTTCTCAGTCTCCCGCACCCAGCCTCAAAGTCCATGAGACCACTGGTATTTGCTATAGTTTACCGCCCTCCGAGCCCATACTCTGAGTTTTTGTCAGAGTTCTCAGAGTTCCTATCCGAATTAGTCCTTCTCGCAGATAAAGTCATCGTCGTCGGTGACTTTAATATTCACATAGATGTGGAAAATGATAGCCTAAGCATTTCTTTTCGGTCCTTGCTAGATTCAATTGGGTTTACACAGTGTGTACATAGACCTACGCACTGCTTTAACCACACTCTCGATCTCGTCCTGACTTATGGCCTCGAAACTGATGCCCTGTTAGTCAGCTCATTAAATCCTCTATTATCTGATCACTGTCTAGTAACTTTTGAATTTGTGCTCTCAGGTTACTTTCCTCACAACAAAGTCGTGCTAACTAGAAGGTTGTCTGAAAATGCTGTTACTAAGTTCAAGGAGGTAATTCCGTCTGCTCTAAATTCTGTAGTTGAGAAAAACTTTACTGATAGCTCATATTTAAACATCAGTCCCTTGCAACTCGACCAGTTTGTTGATGATACCTCAGGCACACTGCGATCAGTTCTAGACTCAGTTGCCCCTCTTCGACAGAAAACTATTACACGCGAGAGGCTAGCCCCGTGGTATAATGCTGAAACCCGTGAGCTGAAACAGTTATTAAGAAAATGTGAAAGGATTTGGCGCTCCTCCAAAACAGCTGAAGCTCGTTTTCTCTGGCAGGAATGTCTCGATAAATATAAGAAAGCCCTACGACGTGCTCGGACAACCTACTACTCGTCTCTTATTGAGGAAAATAAGAATAACCCCAGATATCTCTTCAGCACTGTAGCCAGGCTGACAGACTGTCCGAGCACCACTGAACCATGTATCCCATTAGCCCTTAGCAGCAATGACTTCCTGAGCTTCTTCAATGATAAAATCTTAAAAATAAGAGGTAAAATTAGTAACCTATTGACTCCACCAAGTGTCTCTCTCTCAGATAACCCTAAAAATGCTGAGGAGCCCCTAAGGCCTCTGGTGCACCTTAGTAATTTTGTACCTATTGACCTTCCTGAGTTAAAATCAGTGGTGCTAGCAGCCAAACCATCGACGTGTCTCTTAGACCCAATTCCATCTAAATTGCTGAAGGAAACTCTTCCTTTGATTAGTACGTCCCTGCTCAAAATGATTAACACGTCTTTATTAACAGGATATGTTCCCCAGTCTTTCAAGACTGCATTGATTAAGCCTCTCCTTAAAAAACCTACTCTAGACTCAAGCTCCCTAGCTAACTATAGACCAATATCCAACCTTCCTTTTATTTCTAAAATCCTAGAGAAAGTTGTTGCGAATCAACTCTGTGATTTTCTCCATAACAATGGTTTATTAGAGGATTTCCAGTCTGGGTTTAGAACCCATCACAGCACAGAGACTGCTCTGCTAAAGGTGTCAAATGACCTACTCATGGCCTCAGACAATGGTTTTCTCTCTGTTCTAGTCCTGTTAGATCTTAGTGCAGCATTTGACACAATTGACCACTCCATCCTGCTTCAGAGACTAGAACAATCTATAGGCATAGCAGGATCAGCTCTCTCCTGGTTTAAATCGTACCTAACAGATCGATCCCAGTTTGTCAATGTAAATAATAAATCCTCTGCACACACCAAAGTGTGCTACGGTGTGCCGCAAGGGTCAGTGCTCGGTCCAATCCTCTTCACCCTGTATATGATTCCGCTGGGTAAAATTATGAGGAAGTATTCGATTAATTTCCACTGTTATGCAGATGACACCCAGCTATACCTATCCATAAAGCCAGAGGAAGCAGGCCAGGTTGCTAGGTTAGAAGCCTGCCTCAAAGATATAAAATCCTGGATGACCAATAACTTTCTAATGCTCAATTCAGACAAAACTGAAGTTCTGGTCCTCGGTCCTAAACACCTTAGAGAGGCGTTCTCTAGTAATTTAGCTACATTTGATGGTATCAGCCTGGCATCCAACCCCACTGTGCGTAATCTAGGAGTTGTATTTGATCAGGATTTATCTTTTAGCTCCCACATTCAACAAATTTCTAGGACAGCCTTTTTCCACCTGCGCAATATCTCAAAAATTAGACGCATATTGTCTCAGAGCGATGCAGAAAAACTAGTCCATGCCTTTGTTACCTCTAGGCTGGATTACTGTAATTCTCTCCTATCAGGCTGCTCTAGTAAGTCATTAAGGACTCTTCAGCTGGTCCAAAATGCAGCAGCTCGGGTATTGACTAGAACTAGTAGAAGGGAGCACATCTCCCCTGTTTTAGCCTCTCTTCACTGGCTCCCTATTAAATATAGAATTGAGTTTAAAATCCTCCTTGTGACATATAAAGCGCTTAATGGCCAGGCGCCATCATATCTCGACGAGCTAGTTATACCGTACTTTCCATCTAGACCGTTACGCTCACAGTCTGCAGGTCTGCTCGTTGTACCAAATGTCTCTAAAAGTAGTGTTGGAGGAAGAGCTTTCAGCTACCAGGCACCTCTCCTCTGGAATCATTTACCGCTCGAGGTTCGGGGGGCAGACACACTCTCAACTTTCAAGAGTAGACTTAAAACGTTCCTCTTTGATAAAGCCTATAGTCAGGGCTGATTTGAACCAGCTCTTAGTTATGCTGCTATAGGCCTAGACTGCCGGGGCTATCTGGCACACTGAGCTAGAATCTGTCTCTATCTCCTCTTTAGATCTTTATGTCCCATATAAGTCACTGACCAGTTTTCTGTCTCTCTGAGTGTCTCTGAGTCTTTTAGCTGCCACTGGACTAATGCTGCAAACGGTCTGCTGCGGAACTGCCTGACCCCAGCTGCATCCATCCTGGGCCCTGAGCTCCTCCATCTCTTTGGCTCTTTGGCTTCTCTGGACCGTTGCTGCAGAGACCCCCCCCCCCGGCCCTGAGCTCCTTCTTCTCTCTGATTCCTCTGGACTGTTACTGTTACTGCAGACATGAACATCAGCCTCACTGTCATTATTGACATACAAAATAGAACTGACTACGATTAAGCCTGCTAACTGTAATCACACTCAATTAATTCAACATTGTCCATTATTTCTCATATCCTAAACCTGTAAACTGAACGTCTTTTTGTTTCACCATTACATGAGCTGTTGTCGTTGTTGCTGTTGTTCCTGCTGCCTCCTGTCTCTCTCTCACCCTCGTTCCCTACTCTCTCTCCCTCCCCCTCCCTCTCCGTACTAATTCTCTCTCGCCTTTCCCCTATCTTCCTGTCTCTCTCCCTCCCCCTGTCCTCTCCCCCTCTCCCCTCTTCTCTCTACATTCCCCCCCAACCCAGCAGCGGCATGGTGGCTGTCTAGCATGAGTCTGGTCCTGCCCAAGGTTTCTGCCTGTTAAAAGGAAGTTTTTCCTTGCCACTGCTACTCATGTTAGTTGAGATGGGCCAAAACCCATCTTAGGTTGGTTCTTGATCATCAAACAATGAGCGTGGTCTCGACCTGCTCTTGTTCTTTGGAAAGCGTCTTGAGATGACGACTGTTGTGAATTGGCGCTATATAAATAAAATTTGATTGATTGATTGATTGATTTCGATTCCAGTTCCTAACGATTCTCTATTCCGATTTTTTTGGATGGGTGCTCACCAAAGTTCTTCTTTTTGGATGAAATTTCTGAACTACTCCTTGAATTTTTAAATCGTAACTTTTTAAGAACTTAACTATGAATTTCTCACAGGACTACTTTCAACCAGTATATAAATATCAATTTTTGTTCTCAGGTCATTTGTCTATGAAAAAGTACAAGGGCTAACGTTAGTTGGATATTTAAGTCGACCCACCGTACACAGTACAATTTGTTTGCCGCTTCAATGTTAGCAGAAGACAGAAGTAATTTATTGCTTCACTTATCTGATTCTGGCTAGTTAGCGGAAGACCGGCGAAGTGCGTCAAAGACGGTCACTCAGGTATTTCTCCTCCATGAAACCTGAAGTGTTTAATCATGTTGGTCGTTCACCCTTCTCAGCATGATATAACTGTGTTGCTAATGTTGCAATGAGAGAAGAGTTCATTCTTCCTGCTAAAGTTAGCCAAACTTTTGACCACAGCCGCTGTGGGCTTCGTCCTCGTTGGTGTTAAGCGGCGTCTTCCTCGTTGGTGTTTGGCGGCTATTTCCTCTGGTCGGCGGACTCCAGCATCGAAACTTGGAATTGAAATTTTAAAATTTGAACGATTCCATGAGAATCGGAATGTTAGTCCCAGTCCCCATCGATGCTCGAGACTCGATGCCCAACCCTACTTTTCACAGAGCAATTCATTCAGATTGCTGCTTGAGGACAATGATTAAAAATTAGAGGTGCACTGATCACAATTTTCTGGCCGATCACCGATCTTTAAAAAGCTTGACCAGCAGATACCGATTTTGGACGATACCATTTATTTCAATAACTGACAACATCCACCTTCAATGCTCCAATCTTATTTTAATGAAAAATATTAAACAATACTTGTAAAACAATGCAAACCTTTTTGTGTTTGTTTTAACTGCACATGAGGTAGATCTCTCAAATATAAATGAAAGTTTAGAATATTGCTGTCCAAACTACTAATCAGTTCCTTTAGTCTTTTATTTTCCACATTTAAAAAATGAACAATACTTGCGCAACAGGTCACACTGCAGGCCTGTTTTGAGCCTCTTACCAAAATAAAGTGCACAGCAGTATTTTGCTTTGACAAATAAAGGAAATTACAAGGTTTGAGGAAGTTAGTAAAATAATAATCTACAGGACAAACTAAACTGGTGGGCAGGCCTGTCATTCTGGCAAAGGCAAAAAGCTACAACAGCTGACTTTCAGACCTTTGCTGAGGTAGATAAGATCAGTGGATAAAGTCGGTTTTATGTGTAAGGATCTGCCGATCACTGATCTCCCAAAATTGAGGAAATCCCGGCCGATTGATCGGTGCATGTTTACAAAAAATGAATTGTTACTTGGTTTGACTTTTTATAAAGCCACAGTATTTTAATTATGGGGTGTTGGCTTTTTTTTTCCTGGTGTCACCTCACCTGAACTTTTCACTTTTTCCTCTGTTTGCCTTTTTCTGTTATTTAGCAATTCAGGCTTTGGTACATGCAACCAGAAGTTATTTTTCCTATAATTATTAATGGCCTATTCAGCATGAGAATGAATAATGCTTTTCTGTTGCTTATGATCTTCTCTATTGTACCACCCATTCATCTATTTCGGCAGCTGCCATAAGTCCCAGGAGTCCCTGCTGAGTTCAGCCAGTGGTTTCAGTAACTACAGAGGAATCCTCAACTGGTGTGTTGTCATGCTGGTAAGCCCCAAGTTTGCATGAAGTTGAATAAATACACTTGAAACAGCCAACACTGCCATACCAGCTCAAGGATTTGCTATATTTTATCTGATTTTGTTTTCTACAAATACTTCCAGTCACTCTGTTTCAAAGTGTTGACATTAGAACTGCTGACGTACTGTACGTAGGAGGATGACAAATCCTCTGGAATCCTGGTTGGTGTTCTCCCAGATGGTTTGCAGTACAAGGAATCCATGTATTAGTTACTTCGAGGTTGCTTGTCTCTTCTTTTGGTATCAGTGCACATGTATGTTGTAGAAGTTTTATATTTTACAAAGGTGATTACAGAGACACAATACATTCATACTTTTATACTGTTACACTTTGTGTCTTTCTGTACTTGAGTACTTCTAAACAGACAGCCGAATGTCAGGAACACAATATCATGTATGCTATTATGAATAACTTAAATTAAAGATGAAGAATGTGAACACCACATGAATTTCAGTCTAACACGGATGATTACTATTGAAAATATCATTTCAAACCTGGTCCAAAACTCAATCCTGATTAGGTGATTAGTCGGATATATTTTAAGTTCAGTTATATAACTTTGAAAGGATTCCCTGGTTTATCTCTCCAGTTTCAGTTCTCTCTCCTCTGTGCTGGTAGTGGGCAAAACAGGAGAAAAAAAATGAGTCAAGCAAAACCCTCTGTTGACTCAGGCTTTTAACACTGCTGTTACGTTTGTTGTAGGATGTTTTGCTTCCTCTCCCAATGGACTTATGTCCAATCCCAAAGCATATAGCACTTGTGCTGGGTAATGAGTTGGTACAATCCATTTCAAAATAGTAAGAGCAAGAAGGGAAGTTTACAAAATGCAAAGAGAATAACAAAGAGGAGGAGAACATGGCTAAAGATAGGGAAGAGAGGATACATAGGAGCAGGTAGGGAAACAAAAAAAGAGAAAGGGCTGAACGATATGTGTGACTCCAATCAGAAGTAAACAGTACTAACCCATTTCCTGAGGAATAAAGACATAAAGTAAAATGCAAACAGTCAAGTGTGTTTTAAACCCATTTTATGTTGCAGGTGCTGAGTAATGCTCGCCTCTTCCTAGAGAACCTCTTAAGGTGAGTCTGTCGTTATTAAGTATTACTCATTAATTTCAAGGGACTCCACACACTTTGTTTCCAAAGATGTTTCTATTCAATCCGTTTGTTGTATAAGAAATACTGCATACTGGTTTTAACCATATAGATGAATTCATTCTTTAACAATCCTCTCATACTGAGGTTTTTATTTCGCTTTCAAGAATTAATATACAGTGTATTTTTTCAGTGACTGATTTTTGAAAGACAACTGTCTTGTCTGAACTGACATTCAATTTTAATTATAGTTTTTCACTAAAAGCTACTTTCTTTTTTCTCTTTGCCTTTTTTTTTTTTCCAGGTACGGTGTCCTGGTGGATCCAATCCAGGTGATTTCCTTGTTTTTGAATGATCCGTACAGCTGGCCAGCAGCGTGCCTGCTGATTGGTAGGTAAAGTTTTCTTCCCTTAGATAATTCCAGCTTAAAAAGCAAAAACAATAATCATAAATTAAATATGCTTGAATTTCTTATTTACACTGGGGTGTAACTGTAATGCAGAAATACAAACTGTAAAAATAAAAGCCAAGGAGTTTGGGTTTTTAATGGGATGTCAAATATGGATGGCTATTGAAATAAAACTAGAATCACTCTTATCACTGTAAATTTGAAAATGATTTGAAAAAACTTATCAAAATGTTTGGCATCATGCTCATTAACACATAAAGTTTATCTACTGATAAACTTTTATCAGGCTGTAGGACCAGGTTCAATTATTGTTAAGTAGTTTAGGAGTAACACCTCAAACCCTTGAGATACTGCTCCTTGAGTATAAAATAATATAATATGAAAAAAAGAATCAATGTTTGGGTGAACATGTAAGATAATTGAACTGTGTTTGAAGATACATCTTTGGTAGTTCCATGAAAAAGTGACATGATCTCCTTTTGTACGGGTACATGCTACATTCAAAGTTTATTGCGTTGTTTATTTATTTGGTGTATTGCAGTGAACCTCTGCAGTGATGCAGCTCAGAGTGTCTCTAGAGGGACAATCACCTGCCCTATTTACTGCACACTGGTGCTGTGCTGCAGGAAGAGGCAGCTAGAGAGTGAGAAAAATGAGCAAGAGAGAAACTGAAGTGACAAGAGGTTTATGGTGGGGGGTCATGAGGAGGGAGAAGAATGCAGGAAAGTAAAAGTAAAGGCAAGTTGGAAAAGATGGGGAATAAACAAGGAGTTGGGAATGCGGGGGCGGAAGTGGAGGTGTGTGTGAGTACAATACTGCAGGAGAAGTGAGGGAGGAGAAGGTGTGGGAGTGAAGGTAAATGACTGCACTGACTGTGGTTGGGAAACAGGTGAGATGGGAAATCTGTTTACAGCAACGTGGATGATAAAGCAGCTCGTTCCCAGAGGGCATTCAGCAGGTCTGGGATCACTGCAGCAACTTGAACATGTAGAAACACACAGTTATACTGAATTTTCATGACTGAAAATGGAGAGTCAAAAATATCTAGAAGCCTGCAGGCAAAAGGAAGAAAGTCTGAAAACAACATAAGAAGTATATTAATTAACTTGGTGACTAAAGTAAACCCAATTGACCCAAGTGTCAGGTATTTTTCTGTGTGACACGTTATGAGGAACTTTTCCATTTGGGTTGATTTGTGCTTCCCTGGTGGACGTAGAAGGACGTCCCAAACTGGCTACACATTTGATGACATTTAGATCTTATCCCTCTTCAAAAGCTTGGGAGATCACACACATATGGATAGTTACAACATTTCAATCCTCTGAACATACACACAAGACTACGCACTTCATGTTTAAAGTACTTGTGGTGCTTTTCCACTCCTTTACATTTACCCTACTGTGGTTTGTTTTGCATGAACATTATAAACGCACTGGTGTTGTTGACATGATTGCATAAGCTAGTCTTCTGTTGCCTAGACTGTAACATCATTCATGTTTGATATTTCTCATTCTAGGTCAGCGAGGCTCCAACTCTATCAGGATAGGAGTGATTAAATGCATCTGACACTTGAGAATTATTTGGAGAGAAGAAACTGCAGACAGACCTTAAATTAGGACACACCCCTTCAATCATTAGGTTTGGAGAATCAGGCCCTAAATTTGGCCCTAAAAAATCATCATCTAGTGTGTGACCAGCACTAGTTGATATTGTCCTGTGAATGTCCAGGCTGTGTTTTTAAACATTAAATGTGACTCTTTTGTCTCTTGGCAGTCTTGTTGTGTCTGACACCTACTCCTCACAATGGTTACAAGCATTAAGGGATATTCCGGTCCAAAATTAATTTAGGGTCAAACACACTGTAACACCGAGTTAGACAACCCCACCGAGAGATGAATGTTGCCAACCATTCCATTTCTTCATGGAAATGCAATCAGACTGAGACGCTAAGGCAGAAGAACTACTGTGTCTGCAGTGCAAAATGATTAATATGGTGATTATTACTTCAAGGAAATGATAAAGTAATGATCATAAATGTTCTTCCTTGAACTGCGTCACCCCACAGCAGTCTGTAATGGACTGGCCCGAGGTTTCGCTACAAACAAGCGGCTGCTGGAAGAGAGTAGGTGAGTTGTGTTTAGTCTCTCTGCAGACGGAGAAATCAGGCAAAGTTAAAAAGATGTTTGGTGGCTAGTGCTGTGGTTGGGACCCTATATGTATTGTTGATGAAGTTAGGAGCTGTTCTCAGCATTATTTTGTGGCTGTAGAGTGGCGTTTTGGTTGAGGTTTGTGTGTGACTTCTCAGACCACTGTGTATTGCTATTGTGTGGTCGTTACTGGAGTTGGCATGACTAGAGAAGCAAGCACGGCAACATTCATCTCTCGAGGGGGTGTCTAACTCGGTGTTACGGTGTGTTTGACCCTTAATTAGTTTTACGCTGGAATATCCCTTTAACTAGCATTCTTAGCTCTTTTTGCTGATTGTCTCCTCTTCTAAGAGAGGTGTCAATATTTCAATACTAGCTAAAAATTCCTCACAGTGGCTTTAAAATGTGTTTGTTTTTGCTTGTGTTTGACTTGCTTAAATCAAGTTCTCCTCAGATTAAAGATTTTTGCTAAGTGATCCCTGTTTTAACCCTTTTCTCCCCTTTTAAATCCCAAATACACCATGATGTCAAAAATGAGCATGTGACCTTATCATTAAACAAAATACAAACTGATTGGCATTGCACTGCTGATAAATAAACACCAAAACTCAGTTAGCAATCAAAAAACTCTCTAGATTATAATGATTGATGCAAAATGAAACATGCTTTAGAAACGAAGCACTTCAAGCATTATTTAGCAGACACCTGCCAATCACTCTTAAAATGCTGTTCTGCTTCACTTTATTTCCTGAATTTTAAAAGAGTTCCTGATAGCCGACCAGACGCGGCATGTTACAGAAATTGTGTGCAGACCTGTATACACACACTTACTTTGTCACCAAACTGTGCAGCAGTTGGTGTGTGCTGTGCAACACATATGCTCTGTTAGTGCTGGCTCATTTCTTTCATCAGGTGTTGCTGTGTAATCATGTGAGAGAATTTGGCCGTGCCTGTGTGGCTACATGTTTCACAGTCAGCACGGTCTACAAAGCTAAATTCACTTCACTCACTTACAGACCAAAGCAAGACAAAATTAGACCTGAAAGTTAGCTATTAAGTCAATTGGAGCATCAAGTTTGGTTCTTTTCAATATCTCTCTTTTAATGTAAAAAAAAATGTACATCAGCGTTTTTGCTCAATCTGCTCAACAGAAATGCAGCTTTTTTTCTACATTCAGTCCTTATCTCTGTGGTAATGTTTGTGTTCTTTGTAGCTCATGGTCCATGACTAACACAGCCTTTCTTCCACTAGCTTGATACTACCAAATAATCAGCTTGTAATAAGGAGAAAACATCAGGAATTAGTAGAAACAGGGTTCCATCAGCAGCATATTGTAATGAAAACCTTTTACTATTTTTAGCTACCAGAAAACACACACGAGGGCTTTTAGGAAATATTTTCATGTCCAGATATTTAAATTCGAATTGTCTTCCTTCTGCAGAGCCCACTCAGAAATGGGGCTGCTGGAAACAACCATATCACAGACAGTTTTAGAGAAGCTCACAGGAATATCTCATTGTGTTTTGACAGTGTCCAACATCTTCATCCTGGTGGCTCTCTACACAGAGAGGCAGCTGTCCAAGGTAAGAGCAGAAGCCTCGCTTGCATTCAGACATCAGAGCGCTGAGGATTTCAACTGAACTGTTGAATTTGGAGCATTTTCTCAAACCCCAGGAGGGATTATTTTTCTAAAACCGTTCTCTTAAAACTGACCCTCCCCAGTCGCCTCTGCGCATTTTAAACGGTTAAATGAGAAATTAGTTTCACTATCTGCATTAAGAGCAGATTCAGTTCAGCTTGGTCTGTTTGACATGAATATGGAATATTATGAGCTTTTTAAAACTTTAACAGGCCAACAGAACCCAGAATTAAGTTCAGTATACAGGCAGAGGAAATTCACAGTTATTAAACTTTTTTTTTTACACTTTTTTTGAATAAGCTTGACAGAAAAATACTATATTTAAAAAGATTGGAAGGAGTGAGTCCAGTAACAGTTGTTTGATGAAGGAAAACTCTCTGTTTGTACGATTAAACACACACTCTCTCTCTCTCTCTTTCCCTTTTTCTGCTCAGGGTTCATTTAGTGAACTTGTTGGATTTGTGGTCCATTGCGTTAACCTGACAATCATGCTAACATTCCCGGCTGTAGTGGTGCTTCTGGTTCCCTCTGTGACTCCAGGTAAATGTTTTTTGAAACCCTCATTAAAAGTACCATCTCTTCTGCCCTGCTACCACCAACTTGCACATAATCGAGACAAATTGCTGACTCAAACAGAAACATCCATTTCACAGCCAAACCGTTATCAGTTTATTGGTAGTTTACAATGTTGCCATGTGTGTAAAACAGAAAGTAATGTAGCTGTAATAAAGATTAAGAGGTCATTCATATCCTTACCCTTCAGAGAAACAGTCCACCAGTTTGATAGAGCAGTAAAGGATTCCTCTTATACAGAGTCATAATTGGAGACGGTTAGCGGTAATGGACCAGTTGGTCATGACTGGATTATTTCCAGCTGGCTCAAAGAAAAGGAGAGGGGAGAGGAGACAGGAGGAGATGGAAGGAAAGGGAATAAAAAGAAGGAGATGCCAAAGTGGGTGTGGTCTGCACTGTGAGGTCATCCAAGGGTCACCATGTTGTGTCTTCATCAGGCTGCCTGACAGATACAATGGCTGCCTTGCAGTTTACTTCAGATAACTGAGTAATACTATTGATTGATTTTAACATCATATATATAATCTTTTTAATATTTATATATATATATTTGAAAATACAAGTTTTATCCATCAAGGTACTGTAATGTGTTTTACAAAGGCAGGAGATACATGGTTAGGCTCATCAGGTTTGACTTTTAAGTCATTTTTTTGTTTCCTCACCTAATGAAGTAAATGTTTGAGAAGCATAAAAGTAAATATAAAACCTCTACAGGAGAGAATTATTCTTAAAATGAAAACCTAACAAAGTGGAATATGTACAATATTTACATTATATTGACTGAGTTACATTTATCTGCTAGCCTGCTAAAGTCCCACTGGAAAGTGATTGAAACCATTAATGTCATGATTTCTCACAGGTACTCCATCTTTTATTCTTCAAGCTTCAGGTGTTTCAGCTAAAATCTTATCATTGACGGATTTTGAACTTTAAGTGTAATTCTGGCAAATATATCAACCTGAGTTTGGTCCAGGACTGTTATTGTTTTTAACCTCTCCTCTCTCTCCTCCTCTCCTTTCCTCTCCTTTCCTTTCCTCTCCTCTCCTCTCCTCTCCTCTCCTCTCCTCTCCTCTCATCTGTTCTCTCACTGGGAGGTGAAGGAGTAAAGGAGTTGGTCCATCTGTCTGTCTGCTCTCCTCTCTGTGTTGCTGTTCACACAGGAAGGGCAATTATAGAGGACAGGTGTGTGTGTGTGTGTGTGTGTGTGTGTGTGTGTGTGTGTGTGTGTGTGTGTGTGTGTGTGTGTGTGTGTGTGTGTGTGTGTGTGTGTGTGTGCAGTACCTTATGCGTTCACACACTGCTTACTCAGCCTGTATTCAGACGTTGTCCATGCTGCAGAATGAATGATCTGATATCAAGTTCAAATTTCTTAAGCGGACTAATGTGACGAAGCGGAAATGTCTTCTTTAAAGTCTGATGACATTATTTCCTGTCTGATGCAAGAAAGTCCTGGACTCAGAATAAAAATCTAAATGCTTGTCTATCCTATTTTAGAGCCACATATGAACCTAACATTTCACCAGTTATATTTGTACTGTACAAAGCCAGTAAGTGTAATTCATTTGTGGCTTACATGCTGTATTTACATGCAGGAAAATGTAAAACTCTGAAAGCAGTAAACTTTGAACTTGGACTTTGTTCACTGAAGTCTGAAAACAAAACCCTTAACATTTACTTATATTCTAATTTGGAATAGGATAAGTTAAAAGTGAGCCAAAAAAGGAAGAAACATAATCTTCAAAAAAGGGTGGACAAACACTCCTGTCAGGTTTTGTGTAAACACTTCTGAATGTAACACTGAGTAATGTTAATGCTGACAGTCAAACACAATGGCCTTTTTAGATTAAAACAGTTCACATCAGTTCCAAATCAGCCTACTTATCCATCATGTACAGGCTTGAAAGACAGTGGTGTCAAACTGGCATTTGTGATGCGTTCAGACGAATATCATGTTACCTGACTGTGGTGAGACCCGCCTCTGTAGTGGAGGAACAAGTTTTACACAAAACACTCCCTTGTGAGTGGAGGGGGCAGGAGGGGACAAAAAACTGTGTGTTGATTTGAGTCTTTGTGTCAGAAAAACACAACAAAAATCAAGATTTTTAAGGATAAAAGTGGATGGTTGGGATTTTTTGTATATTTCCCGCCTCGGCCCCACCTCTCTGTGTTCCTATCAGGACTTGTGTACCTCCTGTAGCCGTCTTGTAGCCGATCTGGTTGTTAGAAGCCACATACAGCGAGAGAGACAGATGGTTAATGGATAAGATCTGCTGTGGTTTGATGCCAGGTGTGCTGACCTCCACCTCACCCTGCTGGCAGGGTTTATTTGTGTGTTTGTGTGCACACATATGAGAGTGTGGGTCTGTGCTCAGAGGTGTTTCTCCTTCTCGGATCAACATGATCCTTTTTCTGTAAAGCATGTGCTGATCGTTGATAAAGCCTGAGCAGGAAAACCTTTTCAGTTGGCCTATGACATGAACATGTCGATCTAGCATCCAATCATTTTGTATTATGGCTCACAGAAACAAACACTGTTATGTTTTTATGAGTTCACCACAGTGGAAAAACAAGGTGGCTGTAATCTGTAATATTGTCCTTGGCACAGTTGGACCACTCTCCCACTTTGAGCTGAGATTAATGTGACTGGGCTCATTCTCTCTTTCTTTCTCTGTTTACTCCTTGCCTCCTCTTTTCCCCTCTATTTCCTCCTCTTTCTCTACATCCTCTCCTCCTTTTCTCTCTACCTTATTTTTCTGTCTCCCCCATCCCATTTTCTCATCTTTCTTACCTTGCACTTTAGGTTTAAGAGTAGGTTGCATTTTCTGCAACTCTAAAGCTTCGCACACGCTGAGGCCATAACCATCATCTTTCTCTCTTCCTGTCAGTTGGAGGTGCATTAGCTCTTGGGACTTACACAATCCTCTTCCTGAAGCTGTACTCCTATAAAGATGTCAACATGTGGTGCAGAGAGCTGAGTACTGCCAAAGCCAAGAAACTGGCCAGGTCACTGTCCTGTAAGTCACTAACACACGTGAGTCCAAACTGAAAATGAGTTCTGTGCCAAAAGTGAGAGTGGATTCTGTCTTCTCACCCAAAAAATGACACTGCAGTCCTTAGTTCATGTTGTTATAGTGACATCCAAAGGCAGATACTTGATACTACAGCCGGCAGATTCACCTCAAAGTCTCAGGGTTAGGCAGAGTTTCACAGGAATACACCAACAAACAAAAATACATTTTCATAATATGTGACAAAACTGTGACATCTGCCCACAACTGATTATCTCACCTCACACAAACTTTGCACTGTTGTGTGTTTGTGTATTATTACTACCCACAGGTCCCTCAGTGCAGGACTTCAATGGGAGTAAAGTGTGTTACCCCGGCAACCTCACCCTTCGAGGTACTTAAATATATGTCTATGACACCTAATGAATCAAGTCGTATCAACACTGCCTCTCACTTTTGTTTCATTCTGTTATATATTTCACTGTGCACTGTCATACTTCTCCATCTGCAGACATGTACTACTTTGCCTTTGCCCCGACTCTCTGCTACGAGCTCAACTTCCCTCGTTCACCGAAGATCCGCATGAGCTTCCTGCTGAGGAGACTGTTTGAGATGGTTAGAAAATGTCTCATGTAGAGCTGCGTGGTCAAAAAAAGCGCCTTTGGAGGAAAGCCTCCCTGTTATTATTTGTATTTTTACAGGCATCTCATAAAAACACACATTTTTATGATTATATTTCCCTCTTTACTAGTTGAGTAGAATAGTATGAGTGATCCTGTGAATGATATATTAATTTCAAAAGTTATTTAAAAAAGGTTTTGCAAACTTCGCTGTCTCTAATTTGATGCACTTGAATATTTATGTAGTTATTTGATTCAGTGAAATCATGTGACTCACTTTGATGATGTGTGTCTCTGCTCGCAGATGTTCTTCATCCAGCTGTTAGTCGGTCTCACTCAACAGGTACTTTCTTTTAGTATAAACCATAAGTTGTGTACAAAGTTATGATCATAATTACTCAGTGTCCTCAGTTGTGAAGAAGGCTCTACAGTGACTTTTAATTCCTGTCTTTTAGTGGATGATTCCCATCATTCAAAGTTCCATGAAACCACTAGAGGTGAGGAGGACAGAGTGACAGTAAGACTAATGCTGCACAGAACTACAGAGTGTTATTCATGTTTTCTAAATCAATGGCTGCTCTCTCCCCTTCTCTGTAGGACATGGACCTTTCCAGGATGACTGAGAGACTTCTGAGATTAGCTGTGAGTCCAAACACAACACGTACACAAGCTACATGTTTATGACCACAAACCTTGGAATTAGGAGAAGAGGTGTCAGTAATCACATCATTTTCAAAGGGCCACAAGGCTGATTTTCATCTCTGTTGAATTCAGAATAAAGCCAACGTTCATCTTTCATTTAAAATTAATGAAAACAGTAGAACTGATTCAGAGTCCGGGTTTCATCCAGTGAATATTTGATCATATTTTTAGATTCAAAGCCATCCAAACGGTGACTTTTCACTGAAATCTGTCCAAATTTGGCTTTTTAGAAAATCATGCATAATGTGGATTACACAGAGGGTATAGCCTGTCTTGTTTTATATCATAGTTTTAAATGGCTAAAGAAGAATGGACTTTATCTCAACATGACTCTATTGATAACACAAAAGCAATGGTGTTTTTTTACACTTTGCTTGTTCTTGTTCTTGTTCTCATAGTCTGGCATTTTCTTCTATAATTCTAACCAGGTTCCTAATCACCTGCTGTGGCTCATATTTTTCTACTGGTTCTTCCACTCCTCTATGAACTTTACAGCAGAGCTGCTGTGCTTTGGAGACCGACAGTTCTACAAAGACTGGTGGTATGTTTCTGTGTGTTCTGCACATGGATTTCACGAGCTGTGGTGGACTTTGGTTTTATGGGTCTGAGTTTCTGCATGCACTGGTGCTTGCAATAGTTTGCATAAGAACTGACATAGATAGTTCTTTGCAACCTACCTGTGCTGATAATAGTTTTGTGACAATAAGAGTTTGGAAAATAGATGTATGATGTTTAGTTGAAAACCATCTGGACTCATTATTGTGGTTAAAGAAGTGAATTCAGCTCTTACGTGTGATATGACTTTGCTAAACATTCATCTCTGGACTGTAAGAGAGTCACTGTAAATTCTTTTGTCCTACCTGTTAGTTAAGATTTCAGATTTGTTCATGTTAATCAATATTGATCAGACTGCTTTAAATCCATTATTCACACTGTGCACTGCTTCTATTTTTCATTCTGCATTCAGGAACTCAGAGTCAGTGACATATTTCTGGCAGAACTGGAACATCCCCGTACACAAGTGGTGTCTGCGGTGAGTTATTCAAACACTAACGCACTGAGAGGGAGCAATGAAATTTATAGAAGTGAACAAGGCTTAACAAGGCACACCGATGTATTTTGGGGAAATTGATTCTTCTGGCTGTGAGTAAGTGGTAGTAATAAATACAGCGCCTGCAGCCAGTCACAGATTCAGTAACTCTGCAACAAGAGCAAATCCAGTGAGGTTTTATTCAACAAGACAGAGTAAATGAAATGCTATTTAAAGGGCATAAAACCTGCTGGCTTTGTATTTCAGTCAGGTAGGAAGACTAGCAGCACATAAGAGAGTAAATTCAATTCAATGTATACTCAGGACAAGAGATACTGAAAGGTAGACAAACAAATAAGTTAAATCTTTTAAAAGCTTAGGCTGCGCATTAAAAGACGCTCTGGTTTCACCCATTTAAATATGATGTTTTTGTGTCTTACAGCCACTTTTACAAGCCCCTGCTGAGGAGAGGATTCAGCAAAATGGTCAGTCAATCAGCTGTCTTCTTTTTGTCAGCCTTCTTCCATGAGGTAAGAGCTAAAAACAGCCAGTGAGTAGTCACTTTGGAAGTCTATGTCTTTTTTTTATTTTTTTTATTTAATTTTTTTAAATTGAGTTTCATGCTTCCACCACAAGGTACATAACCCTTTTCCAAACAGTAGAATATCATATCATAAAACATAATATAATTTTTCAAAATCCACATTCTTTCATGGTGGTGCCAGAATGAAGTGAAACTCTTATACACTTTTACACCAACACAAGAGTAACACAACAAAACAAAAACACACAGTAAACAGTTACAACATTTAAATCCATATACCACTCACTCAGACTCATACTCCCACCTTCCACCCAACAAAGTCTAGGTCTTATTGTCTGTATTTAGAGAGAACAAACATAAATTCATAAATGACAAGCACTTGCCAAAATCTGGCAACTTCTTATAAAGGCAGAAACCTTGAGCAGAACCAGACTTATAATGAACAACCATCAGCTGTGACTGTATCAGCTGAAGAGAGGGACGTAGAGATGCAAACAAACAGAGCAACATCTGATAATTTAGACTTAATGCAACAGTGCCAATAAAGCAGCAAAAAAAAAATGCAACATTGTCAATTAGACATTTAATACCGTAATAACAAACTTAATTGTAACTCTAGCAGCTTCAGTCAATCAGGTCTCATTGGTATTAATTATAATGAGAGTATAAGTAACTATAATCCCAGAGAGACAGATTTTGTTTTGTCAAGTTGCCAAGCAGTCTGAGCTCATAGCAACATAACTAGGGTTCACTTCTTAGCCAGATTCAGCCTTCACTTACCTTAGAGCTGAAAATGAAAGTTTTGAAGTCTACACTTCAAAGTAAAGAGGGTGTCTACCTCCTGCACCTTAAGAGAGTGACCTGGTTGTGTTAGTCTCCAACTCCCATGAGAGACTTGAGGTGCTGTGAGCAGGCCTGCATTCTGGGAGGGCAGGGTCCCAGAGGGGTAATCAGGGCCTGTGAGATCTTTGAAATGTAACAGTGCTGGACTTTTAAAAGCTTTGTGAGGAGGATTTTTGCTTCACTTTCAGGTTCCCTCGGGCTGAATTGTCATGTATAATTTAATAACATTTGTGTGATGATGAAATAGGGTGTTTCCTCATGATGTTACTTGGAGGAGGCTTATAAACAGTAAGAACTTGTGCAGGCACTGAACCTTGTGGTCAACTTCATGCTGTTCCTATTATGCTTATTCGTCTCGTCTCTGTAACAGGATGTGATTATTAATTTTGTGGTAAATCTTCTCTGTAAATGCTCCTTCTTTCAGATGCTTAGATATTCTTCTAGATTGAACATATTCTGTTTTTTTCTGCTCCTGTCCGTGTTTTTGTCAGTACTTGGTGAGTGTTCCTCTCAGGATGTTCAGACTCTGGGCCTTCATGGGCATGATGGCACAGGTGAGACTCTAGGCCAATAACCAAATGTGGTTGTCACGTAGCTATAAGAAACTCTTTGTATAAAACTTCTGTTTGCTTTGAAACTACAAGTAAAGCAAGCTCATGAACCATGTTTGCTTTATCTTCATTTGTATTTCCTCAACAGCTTCCATTAGCCTGGTTTGTCGGCAGCTTCCTGCGTGGCACCTACGGCAACGCTGCAGTGTGGATCTCACTCATCATCGGTCAGCCTTTTGCTGTCCTGATGTACGTCCATGACTACTACGTCCTGCACTACAGACAGGAAGCTGATTGATTCCCACTAAATCACACATGGGTGCACATCTTTCACTGTATTGTACCACTGTTTTAAGCACAGGTCGCACACTGTGTGGAGTTTATAGTTATGAGACTTGACACATCAGAATGAACCGATTACGCCATGGTTTTTAATGTTTACATTTGGTCACCGGAGGAAAACAAATTCCTCTTGCTGGGAAAGGTACAGACAGCTAGTATAAGAGAAATAATAAATAAAGAAAAAATAATTGTTGAGTGCTGAAATTCTACTTTAATGCAGGGAGGAATCTTCTATATAAAGTGCAGCTTCTCTCAGGAAATCTTTCTTCCAGTCTCTTTTTAAAACTTCTGTTGGCCAGTTGACCTGAAATGTCTATGTTGGATCAGTCAACGACTGAATGTGGTACCGAAAAATCTGTGCAGCTGAATCTTATTGGTTATAAAGTTGAGAAAATGTTTAATTTTTTTTGTCTAAGTTGTGTCAGAGATAATTGATCTGATGCTTTTCCTCCTCCCACTCTGCCAGAGCGATTTTAGGCCGTCTTGTTTTATGTGACTTTGAACCGCACATGCAGACTGAATGTATTCTGATGGTGTTTTATGATGGAAGTACAGTTTTTAGTTGTAAATGACCTTTTGTCTGCATTGCCGTTTGTTTTTGTTTCTCCTCTGATTTTGCATTCACAGCGACACAAAACATATCAAGCCACGTCTAAAAGTCTATGCAAAAGTCACCAAATGAGTTTGTTTTTACTGTTGTGCTGAGACCAGTTTGGACTGCTGCAGGGTGATGATGTGTTACAATTTTTTTTCCAGATTTGTGATAGAAAATAAATTCTTAAAGATTTCAAGTCTTATCAGCTTGTCTCTTATTTAAAGTTGGCTTCATGGTGATGCGGTGATTAGCACTGTTACCTCCCAGCAGGAGTGTTTGTAGGGCTGTTCTGTGTTCATTTTGCTGGTTTCCTGCATGCACTCCATCCTCCTCTCTCAGCTTAAAGGTATGCTCAGTAAGTCAGTTGGTCTCTCAAAATTGCCTATAGCTGAATAGGTGTGTGATTGTCTGTTTGTTGGCTCTGTGATTGACTGGTGACCTGTCCAGGGTGAACCACACCTCTTACCCAAGGACAGCTGGGATTGACTCCAATACTGATTTGGATAAGCGGTACAGATGATGGATGGATGGTTATTATTCAACTATTTCTGTATAGTAATGTAAAAAAAAAACTGGAGACATTGTAGTGTGAGAGCTGGGAGTTGTGAGCTTCTGCACTTGTTACTGTCATTATTCATGCAATTGTTCAAGTCTTGAAGCACAACCTGCTGGTGACCCTAACAACAGCTTCATCATACCCATCAGTCTACCTCACTTAAATCTGTCATTGTTGATCAGCATTTAGTCAGGATTCCTACACAGTTGGAATTTCCATACTTTTCAATACCCTACTTTTTAGAATTATTTTTGGAAAAACAGACTTTTCAATTTTAGAAAACAGCATTTTAGGATTGTTGTAATAGTCTGGAAACATAAATATTTTTTCACACTTTATTTTTCATTTTCCATACTTTTGAAGACCTGGAAACTGATCAAATTTATTTCCATGCTTTTCCATACTTTTCAAACTTGCTAAGGAACCCTGTTTAGTGCTTTTGCTACAAGTTGGAGCTGTTGGTGCTTTGCATGTCATGCAGATTCTCATGCATTGTAAAAATGGAAACTTCAAACTGATGGCCTTTTAGTAAATTTACACTAAACTGAACAAAGAATGTGTAACTTTTATGTGAACTATATCAAAGTATATATGTCGACTACTTTAAGTCCCACTCCGTTTTTTTTGGGGGTTTTTTGTACTAGTTAAAGTGTTCTCAGTGTGATCATTGTGTTTTTAGCCGAAGTCGTGTTACCTGTGTCATTTTTAAGGGCTTTTCTTCTGCAGAGTTCAAGTAGCTCATTAGCAATTCACCTCTAAGTTGAGGGTGGATGCAGCGCTACTCTACACACTCCTCTTCATGCTAGCTTGCAGCCTAACATTGCCAGTGCAGCAGAAGTGGCAGGTAACATAGGAGCTATTCAGCTTTCGGACACTAATGTCTTTAGGAACATGATGAAAGTCAATTTTTTAATGAGCTTTCTTACGAGCCGCACACGCTTGTTCCGCAATTGTCCTCTCTTTTTCTCAGGGTGTGGCCTGCATAGCGGCGCTCCAGGGGGCGGAACTTGTATTTCATATGTAAGAAATCTCACTGTGTCTGAACCTGTCTTTTGGGTCTGCCAGAGATTCACAGCAATTTGAATGCAGAAATACTCATTCTTATTTTTTTATGATATGTCCTGTAGTATCAGAAAAATGCCACATGAACATATAGTGGGTCTTTCAGTAGAAGTGTATTTTAGGTGGAGGGCAAAGATGGTCTCATTTCATAGCTTTAAGGCAAACCTCTGAAGTCAGGCCAAGTGTGTATGTGTCATCAATCAAACAGGGTTTACTATGCAAATCAGCAGGGGTCATTAGCCGCACCTTAGTTTTAGTGTGTTGCCAGTGCCGTCTGTGGATCCAGTGACATTCAAACTGTTTTCCAGTTTCTTTCACCATTTTTTCTTGCATGTGTATGCTGCAATCTCATCATCCCTATTGTGTCTATGCTGAGCTCAAGTCAAGACAGGTTTAATCTTCACATTCAGATTTTTCACATAGTTTCACATTGGTGACTAATTATGTTCATTAGCCAGTAACACTCATCATGATTAGGTTACTTACCAGGCTTCATATCAGACATCTGACAGTGATAAACATCATGTCTCTGCTTTGATTTCAATCAGGGTTTTAAATAAGTGAGGCTCAGTGTTTTTTATCAGTGAACGTGTGTGTGCGTGTGTGTGCGTGTGCGTGTGCGTGTGCGTGTGCGTGCGTGCGTGTGTGTGTGTGTGTGTGTGTGTGTGTGTGTGTGTGTGTGTGTGTGTGTGTGTGTGCAGCCCTGCCTCCTGGAAACTACGTTTGGGGCTGTGTGTGTGTGTGCGTGTGTGAGGACAGGGCTGTGAACCTGTATTTTGTCAGGTTGACAGGGAATTAAACAACCAATCTGGGGCAAATCTCACTGTTTCTGCTGTGTGAGTGAGTGTGTGCTGTGTAAGTGTGACATTTACTTAAATAGTCATCAGTGGAGATTAGAGTGTAGATGTGACATGAGACATGGCTTTGCAGGATAAAAGACACAATATAGAGAGCCACTTTGCAGCGTAACATTGTAAGGACCCTTTTTAAAGCGTATTGTTTGCAGGGGTGTGTCCAGAAGGGCAGCTAGAGGTGGCAGGGACTCATGTTCATTATAAACCATCTAGTTGCAACCAGCTGCAATTTACATATATTTGCGTGCCATTTAAGCACCTTTTATTGTTGTTTTTTACATTGATGTTTGATGAATTTCCCTTTTTTGTCTTCAAAGATTTAAGTAGTAAGTCAGTCCCCCATTTCGCCACCCCAGGCAAAACTACCTTCTGCAAATAGTGGATATGAGTAGCCTTTGTGAGACAGGAAATTTAATTTGCAACAAAACCCGGGTCGCAATACTTTAAAGAAACTCTGCTTTTCATTTTCATTGAGGGTCATTTAAGTTTCGCCCGGAGAGGGGATGTGATTTACAAGGAAGCTAGCTGCCAAGACATGTGTTTGTTCTTGCATCGCAGCATGAGGGATGTTTGCCATCATTTGTCCAAGCAATCGATTCCTCACATCTGTCCACAAACTTTACTAATACGCATAAAAATAGAGCTTTTGCTGCAGGACAGCTATAATCCTCCATCTATCCTGCCCTAATTCCAGACAAATAAACCATCAGAGCACGGGGAGGGGGAGGGAAGAGGGAAGTAAAACAGGCAGAAAAATTGTCTTCCTTGTCTCTGTCATTAATATTCAGACGGCTGCTAGCACACACAAACTACTCTAGTTCCTTAAACTGGATTGAGTTATGAATTTATGCATTATTTACTCCTTCTTCACACAAACACATGCCTATGTAGGATAATAACCTTATCTTATTTCATTTTTCTTTATCTCTGTATCTGCCCTTGTTCTTCCTTTTCCCCTGTCTCCTCTCTCCCTCTCTTCTTTCCTTGCTGTCCCTGTCCTGCACCTTCTCCCTGTGCTCCTCCTCAGTAACAGGTTGATCCATGGCTCTTCTCCTGACATCCGTTACTCCGGATCTTTCCACAGAACGCTGACAACCTATGAGTGATGATGATCCTCTAGACAGGAAACCAGGAGAAGCAAACCTGTCTCATTCTGCAAGATGGATGAAGCAAAAGTCCAGGGACACGTCACACTGACACAGACTTGCACTATCTGTAATCAGGCATTTGTGATCTATTTATGCAGAGGATGGGAAAACAATTACACACTTTAAACAGGGTTTTAACAGAGACTTGCAAGATAAAATTTGTGTTTGACCCAGTTTTTCTGGGCAGCATAAAATACATAAACATCACTCTCACATTTTCTAAGCAGCAGGAAATAACTAGGACAAGAATCTGTTAAGTTTTATATCATGAAGAGGCATTGATTTTTGTAAAACTGCAAAATTATCTGGTCAAATATTCAGTCTCAGCCAAAAATAACGTCTAAATGTGGACCATGTCTACGGAAGCCCTAAAAGGATACAATTAAAATATTTTTTTTCCGCATTGTTTTGTCGCAGTGATGAGTTAATTTTGGAATTTGAAGTTAATTTTCTCATTATCTTAAAATAACAAAGTTGTCACATCATGGTCTGGGTGACTGGCTGTGGCTCAGTTCATAGAGTCAATAATCTCCTGATCAGAAGGTCGGGGGTTCCCAGAGCTAAAGAGGAAAGAGCTTATAGAAACATTGTCCATTTTAATAAAAGCAAAAAGCCTTTTGTTTCAGTCTCGAGATCTCCAGAAAATTAACTTGTTATCTTGGAAAAACAAACTTGTTTGTTTTCTCGAGATAATGAGATTATTAACTTAAGATCTCAGGAAAAATACTTAAATTAACTCCT